ACATGCAATATGAAATTAATAGGCTCGGCTACTAATATGGCATTTGATTTGGTTCAATTTGGTAACATGCTTTTAAACATGTGTTCAAATAAGATATCAAAATTACTATGTAATTTGAATGATGCATCGAGCCTCGGTGCATATAAGACAAATGAATAGATGCAAACATGCAAGCATAGGGTATGCTAATTGAAAATGTCCCTAAACTAACCATCAAAAGCGATGAAATAAAAGGGAGAAAGACGTGGGGTTGGAAGACATGCACACACGCGCGCACGCACACTTATTACAACATTACGCCCTCTCGAAGGAGGGTCCGAATGAATAAGAGCTAAGCTAATCTAAGCTAAGATAACTAATTATTACAACACAAAATGAATTAACTAACTTATTCTAAGCTAATTAAATATTACAAAATGAATTAACTAGCTAAACACTTTAACTAGCTAATTACAAAGTAAGTAAATTAGCTACCACCAATTAACTAAATAAAGCAGTTAAATGGCTTCGCGGGCGAGGGACGCATCAATGCTTGGTTGGTTTCCTCCCGAAAATCCACCGCCTTGCCACTGAACGCCTCTGTTTGCATATTTTTTGACCACTGAAAATTGTGCCAATTTCCAGAACACCTCTGCTTCCACTCAGGAACACACTTGTGAAAAATTTTCATTGATGGCTGATCGGCTGCCAACGGTGGCTGTTGGCTACCATTGGTAGCCGGTCGGCTACTTCTGGTGGCCGGTCGGCTACCCCTTTCCTGAACTTCCCTTTTTTGCTGCAATAGAGAGCAAACAGAGGCAAAGTAGTGTATTCTCAAGGTTTGTGTGTACTATTACTCTCCTTACCATCACATAAGCTCAAAGGAGTGCAACTCTGCGCCCTCAAACCATCAACCAAGCAATTTCTATGCATGATGGCTTACGAACCAAGCTTGTACAAGCTTAATGAGTGCAAAACAAAACTCAACAAAACCACAACCGTATCATGTATGATCAAGGGTGATGGTGACCAAGAAAAGCGGCACGTTTCATCACTTTGAGTATGAAACATCCCATTTCCCTCGTGTTCGAATTAACGTCCGATTTGAACACATGCAATGCAACACGAAGATGCTTATCTTGCACACTTTTACTTGTCAAATTTTATTTACTCATTTTAGTTACCAAACCATTCTTTAATCAATTTGTCCATTGGTGAGTGTCTTCTAAAGCGAAAGAAGTGTCAACCAAGGAGTAGTTCAAGGCATGATGGAAACTTCATGCCGTTGGTAATGAACCCTCAAAGGAGGATTAAACCATTAAGTATGAGCCTCAACCTCAAGCTTAAACAACCCTAAGGTTGAAACAACCCTCAAAACAAATGAAAGAGTGAAGAAATGAGGGAGATTACAGAGATTAAGGTGCTGAAATTACATGCAAAATAATACTAAAACATGCAATCAACTCAAGGAAATGATATTTAAAGGCCTAAAACACCAAACTAGTGAAGCCCTTTACACTACAGCTACGCAATGCAAAGCTCAAAAGCAATAACCAGCCCAAAACAGATGCAAAATAGCCCAAAATATAGCTTAAAACATTCTAAAATTAAGCTAACACAAGCTAGAATAATAGGCTAAAACGTGAAGCATGCTAGACTAGTAAGCAAGACACAAGGAGGGGAGGCTACCTCCTCCATTTTTGGACTTCAAAACATGTTTTTATCCACTGAAATAGCTTTGAAAAATAGTGTTTAAAAGCTTGGAAAAAGATAGCGAAAGGGTGGGAAACACAAGGGCCAAGGCCTCCAAAACAAGGTACAAAGAAGGGCTATCAACCCCTTAACCTTTAACGACCTTAGGACCCAAGCTTCAGCCCAAAAACACAGAGTTTTTATAACCCAAAATTAGTTGGAAAACATGCTAGAATGAAGACAAGAGTAGCTAAAACAATAAGCTAAAACATAAGGTTACACTACAACCATGCAAAAGACTACTCATACAACACAAATAACCCAAAACATAGCTAAAGCAGCCCAAATCAAAGGCAAAAACATGCTGGAAATAAGCTAAGTTAAGCTACAAAAACATGCTAACATATAAAGCTAACTAGGCATGCAAACAAGACACAAGGAGGGGAGGCTAACCCCTCTAATTTTGGACTTCAAAACAAGTTTTTTGCCACTGAAAATCCTCTAAATTTCAGTGGTTAAAAGGCCAAAAAAAGTTGGTTTGAAAGTGATGAATAAAGGCGCAAAAGCTTTAACAACAAAGGAGTGAGAAGGGTGAACCACCGCCTAACTTGAAATGGCCTTAAACCAACACATTTAACCCATAAAAGCAGAGGTTTTTTCAGTTAAAAACCACCCTAAAAATAGTACAAAAAGATGGCAAAAACAAGTATGAAAAACAAGCTTGAAAGGTAAAGGTTATACCTCTTGAAGCCAAGCACACTTTAGGCACAAATGGGGCACCAAATCAACCTAAAATCACCTTCTAAAGCTCAAAGAAGGTCCCAAGGAATCTCAGCCCAAGGATAAGCAACTTTGGTTAAGGGTTGATAGGCAAACTAGAAGTGTATCTCTACTTGTATGCACAAAAGGGCAAGAGAGAGAGAGAAATCTAGAGAGAAAGGATTGTAGAGAGAGAGGCTCCCAAATGTTTCTAACCTTGAAAACAATAGAGAAGGCCTTCTATATATAGAAATACAAGAGCCTTGGTCGAAAATATCAAAAAATGGGCAGCTGGTGTAGTGTGAAACAGTTGGAGGGAAAATATCTGCAAAATCTGAGCTTCCCTTACACCAGTGGCTGACTGGCCATCATTGGTGGCCGACCAGCCACCATTTGTGGCCGACAAGGGTCGCTCTTGGCCGACACATGGCCGACAAGCTCCATTTGTGGCCGACAAGCAAAAACTGGTTTCTAGCCCCGACTTCAAACAGGCATATCTCCTTCATCCAGACTCCTTTGCAGGTGATTCTTGAGTCTAAATTGAAGCCCTGGAAGTCTTATTTCCAATGGTGGAATCCTCACATCAAAATTCTAAGTGTACAAAAAGATATGCCTCTTTTAGTGGAAACTGCTCAGTTTCGGTCCTAACCGGATTGATGTCCAACTTCAACCAGCCATAGCTCATCTGGACTCAGCTTTAGGAGATTCTTGAATGTAAAATGAAGCCCCAGAGTCCACTTTCCAATGGTGGTGTGACCTCATAGCTGAAATCCAAGTGCACAGAAGGATAGGCCTGATTTAGCGAGGGTTGTTCGACTCTTTCTTAACGGTTCATGCCCAACTTCTTCCCCAACTAGGTTTCTTCCCTCTCCTCCAATTTTCTTCAAATCCAAACCTCTAAATAAGGTGTTTTGAAATAATTTTCAAAGAGTTCACCTCTCTTTCATTTATTTCCATTTTGTCCTTGCTCGGTTTACCGAAAAGCGCAACATTTAACGAAATGCGAGCCTCGGAACATCGTAGAAACTTTTTTTCAAAAATATTTTGAAAGAGAGGGTTTTAAGGTCTACAAATCATTTTATTCAAAATAGTTTTGGTCCAAAATGGGGTGTAAGGTTAGGATTTGAAGCTCCTTTTGCCGAAAAAATCAAACCTTTGCATAACATAGCCTTCGTCTTGCTTTCATCCTCAAACAATCAACCTGAGGCCCCCAAATCTTAAGGGCGGTCAAAAATTGGGTTTCTACACAATCCTCTTAACAATCTCACCCAATCTAGTGTCCATTTTGTCTAAAAAAAAGCCGAGTGTCTTCGTCATTGTAGCAATATTACCTGTGATTCCTTCAGTAGTCCTGTCTCTTTTTGTTCTCCCTTTCTAAAGGTAGAAGAGTTGGATGCATTTCCATTTGTAGACATTGAACACTCAAAGTCAACAACATTGAATTGCTTAGCTGGAGAACCATCACCCTTCTCCCCCATGGCTTCCTCTACAGCGATTGCTTCAACTACATCTGCGGGATCTTCAGCTAACTCACTAGTGGCTCTATCTTTGCCAAAGAGAACAAGCCAATCTTCATAATATGGAAATGACTTGTTTCGCATAGAACTCGCACTTGGTTGTCTCTACACAAGTTCAAAAGAAAGAAAGAACATTCAAGCATGCATCACATAAACAAAAGTACAGGGAGTGAATATATACTTGGAGCACTTTCAACAAGAGCTCATATTAAAGGTAAGCTAGATGAGATCAAATTGAAATGGAGATGAATGGGATATCTAGTAGTTATGATGAGATGAACACTAAAAAATAGAAGAAAAAAACTTACCCGAGCAAAGTTTTCCCAAGCATCATCACTGTCAACAAGAACCATCTTCTCAATGTCATTCCATCTAAACCCGCTAAGCTCAGTCATTTCATACAAAAGGCCAGAGTGTTTCCTCCAAATTTTTATCTTTGACTCTATGTAAGGAAAAGCACGAAGGTCACTTTCAAGAAAAGTCATGACTATTCTCTTCTCAAGTTCGCCATAAAACCCCGACTTAAATTGCCCATTGTCAACCTTCCATTTAGGATTATTACACAAATCTCTCATTGCACTTATGAGAAACAACTCCTCCCACTTCGTCCAAATCCTACGACTCCCAATTGAATAAGCATCTGCCTTCCCCTTACTTTTCTTCCGAGAACGACTGGTAGGAACACTATCCATGCCTATAATAATGATGTACAACACATATTATTGATTTAATAGCTCATTCTAATATACAAAATACAAGTATGGAAGACAAGGTAAGAATATGATTGAAAAGTGTGCATGAACTATATAAAAAAATAAAAAAAACACTCTTGATATTAAACAACTGCTCAATCTACCTAAAATATAGATATTATTATGCAATCATGAAAGCAACAAATGGTTCTCCATGAAATAAAGATTAAAACAAATAAAATTGATTAGCTTGAAAAAAAAAAATCCATCTCAACTACGTAAGATTCTCATAACATATTTTGCAATTATGAAAATAGACAAGATTCTCATCATTACAAATAAAATATTTAAATAAACTATCTTAACTACGAGGATTTCCACCAACTCCTCTATTTGCTTGCCATTTATTAAACATTATGTTTGCCAATGTATCCCTCCAATCACTCCATTGATTTGATGGCTCTACTGTATTGATAAACTCTTCTCCTAAATCAGGTTGAGGTATAGGAGTGTTATTTAACTTGAACCCAAATGGATCCACTGGCATTTCACGTTTGATGTGGTTGTGGAGAAGGCAACATGTAGTAATAATACGACCCTGGGTCTTGATTGGGTAGTACGAAATAGTTCTCAGTATTGCCCACCTAATCTTGAGTAACCCAAAACACCTCTCAATAACATTACGAGCAGCAGAGTGCTTCATGTTGAAGAACTCCTCAATATTCACTAGGATACCCCTTTCTCTCCATGTAGAGAGGTGATAGCGTTGCTCTCTATACAGCGCTAAGAAACCCTCCCCATTAGTGTAACCAGCATCTACAAGATAGTAGAAACTTGAAAACAAGTATGGGTTTCATATGTATAAGTACTTTAAAAATTGGGCAATTAAGATTACATCAATTAACTATATAGATTCTTACACGTCAGCACCTTCTAACCATTTGGTCTATTCACAGCATCTCTAAGTACCCTAGAATCTGAAGTTGACCCTTCCTATCCATGCAACACATAAATGAATGTCTTGGGAGCAAACACCCAAGACATTAGTAGCAATTTCACCCTTTCGTGTTCTATATCTTGGCTTATCTATTGCAGGAACACGAACCCTAACATAAGTTCCATCTAGAGCTCCAAGACAATTCTACCAAAAATCAAAATAAAATAAGGTTATTCATTTTAAATATGTTAGTGTTTGCCAAAAATCTATATGAAATTATGCTATGTAATACCTAAAAACACCTCCATCTATCATCTGTGCAATTTGTAGTTATTGGCTCTAGTGTCTTAAGTAAGACACCCTGGAGGCTTAAAATAGCTTTAAGGACATCGTTAAAGTACTGACTAACTGCTTGCCCAGATTGCATGAAATTGAACTTGATGTTACGATTCTTATAGTCGTGTGCAATCACATTTAAGAACATTGCAACTTTCTCCTCTAAGAGGACATATTTGGAATCAGATAATCCCACACTTTGGACAAGTGTACAAAGACACATGAAGGTATGCCTATTCACTCGGAGTTGTTCATGACAATCAATATCGTTATCCTTCACCAACCTATTCAAATAGTCTAATTGTGTTTGGAAGGGATGTGGTGACCTTTTAATATCTAACCTAGATTGGTACCTCTCCAAGGCAACATGTAGTAAAATAATGTACACACCACATACATAGTTAATAGATGACACAACTTCTTGGAGTGCTACAAATGCTTAAAATAGGTCTATCGTATTGTCCGAGCATTCATTATTGTCCATCTACAAATGCTTCAACTAACACATTAGATCTAGTTAGTGTAAGAGATTAGAACAACATGTATTTCTGATGGGTACTGAAACAGCCCCTTTACAAACATATCTAACACAGGAACACAAATGCATAGTAATTGAAGAGAGAGAGAGAGAGAGAGAGAGAGAGAGAGAGAGAGGAGAGAGAGAGAGAGAGAGGATCAAATCTATGTTTAGACAAATTTTCACTCTCTGATATTATTATTATTATTATTATTATTATTATTATTATAAATGAAATTACCTAGTAACTAAATTAGAGTCCACAGCCTTATACTAATTTTCCCATTATGACTGTTGTAGAGTAAAAGAAACCCAGATACCAGGAAATGAAATGAATCGAACCCATCTCATGACAGTATTGTATACTTTCTGCATTGAAAACAAAAAACCAATGCCTTGGATTTAAAATAAATAATAAATAAATATTCTATTGCATGTCCAACAAAGAGAAGGCACTGGTGTGAAACTAAAAGATCAAAATTTGGAGAAATTTGAGGTCCAGTTATGTTGCTAACAAAATCCGTAAATGCAATAAGGCACTGCCCTCGCCAGTACCCCAATAAAACTCCGCATAAAAGAAGCTACTAGATAAGCTATTTAGCTCCCAAAAGATTGCATTAATTCAAATTTTGTTTGACCTGTAATTATGGATGTAATCTCAAGATGGATAAAAAGCTTTTAGCATGAAACACATCATTCATTACTAGGTGAATTATCTAACAAAGATGAAGCTACCAGATAAGGTATTAGCTCCCCTAACAAATAAAAGGAAAATCAAATAAATAAAATTCACGACTCAATCTATGATGTCTTTTTATTTACCACATAGAACACTATTGAAGTGTTTTCTATTTTCAGTCTTGCTCAGCCACTGAACCCCATATCAAAGCTCAGTTAATCAATCCAAAGCCTAAACATATTTAATGTGTTAAAAATTAATTGATTCAAGCATGCAAATTAGGAATTTTACAAAACTAAACAAACAAAAAGAAGATTAAAACATGAAACACCATTGGACCAAATAAAGCAAAAAATGTAGATTTACGAATATTTCGCAGTCTCCATCTTGACCATGGAGAACCATACTCATCTACTCACTTTTGTATGATTGTGTCCAAAATCAAGCCAATCTCACACCAAGCCCTTTTAGGGCCAAGTTAAATGTTATTTTTAATGGTTAACAAAAATTAGAATTGGGCAGTTTATTGTGAAAATGTATGAATAACCAAAAAGAGAACACAACTAAAATTGTGTTAAGGTCTAATTGTGCAAGTTGACTTTGTAGAAACATGGTGAACTAAGCCCTAGGTTGTCCTCCCAAAATTTTAATAAAATCTCAATCCATAAGGGTTATGATTTTATAGGGAAAAATAAATAAATAAAACAATGCTATAGAAAAAAAAGAAATATATAAGCAACTCATTCACTAAACTAGACCAATCCCTTGATCTTTAGTTTTAGTTGAAAAAATATATAAGTTTCCTATATGAATAGGGATGGAAATTTAAACCTGGCCCGACGGGGACCCGACCCCCCAACCCCTATTAAAACGGGTTTTCCCCGAAAATTACTCCCCGTAGGGCCGGGGACGGTATGAAAAATTAAATCCCCAATGGTTTTTAGGCTGGGGATGGGGATAGGTTCCCCAACCCTGGCCCCAGCCCGGCCTTGCCCCCAAATAATCCCCGAACATGGCCCGTATATAAAATATATTTATAAATTTCATTTTCAGCCTTTGCCATTCATTTTCAGCCTCTTATTCATTGAATCCCTCATTTCTCTCTCTCTCTTTCACTACTCCACTGTCGATCTTCACTCGCCACTCTCTCCTCCACCGTCAATCTTCTTCACTCGTCGCCAGCAATCTTCTTTCTCTCAGCGTCTCTCTCTCTCTCTCTCTCTCTCTCTCTCTCTCTCTCGCTACCACCGTCGTCGCACACCACCGATCCCTCCACCAACGTCGTTGCACACCACCAATCGTCATCATTCGTTACACAACACTCCTTCCACCGCAGTACCACCGATCGTCATCCTCATTCACTTCTGTGGTTCTCTCTTCTCTCTCCTCTCTGCTCTTCATCTTCTTTGTTGATTGTTGTTGTTTTGTACAGGGATTATTTGGGGTCGGGGAAACCCGATCCCCGTTAGAGGGTGGAAGCGAGGGGTGGATGGGTTCCCCGCCGGGGATCAGGAACGGGGACGGAGAATTTTGTAGTTTTGGGGATCGGGGACGGGAAGTGTAGTCCCCGACCTCACCCCGTCCGCCCTGTTTCCATTCCTATATATGAAAAAGATTTCAAAAAAAAAAAAAAACATCATATGTGAATTTTTAATGGTTTTAACGCGTGATCATTTTATAGGGAAATTTGTGCTATTTACATGGGGCAATATGAACTCTTGGCACTCATATTGAATGTGTTTAGATTATGAATCTTTGAAATAAAAAGAATAAAGAGTGATCAATAAAATGGGGAAGCTTGGTTATATGAGTTTTCTTATTTCAATTTTTTATTTTTTATTTTTTTTAAGAATATTATGGAAAAATAGTGGCCATAAGTATGATGTATTCTCCCTTTTATTGAAGAAATTTCTTTAGATTAAGCAAAACTGTGTGGACCAAACCAATACAGAGTGTGCACGATCACAATATTCATTTAAACTTAGCGTACTTGAGAAAAAGACTCATTTCCTCCTACCAAAAAGTTGGCATTGGTAGCCATCAAATCATTGTGTGACCCAAAAAAAATGGCAACAAGTTTCTTAATTTTTTTAAAACATTAGAAGTAAAAAAAAAAAAGGGTTTTGTTTTATTTTCAAAATACGTTTTTGATTTTACATTTCTCCCCAATCACCTCCAGCCACCTCTATTGGCTACTTACCATTGCCGACGACAGCCACCATTTTTAGAACTCGTCCAATATATATATATATATATATATTGTTTTAATATGTTTTCAAAATATTTACATCAAACAATTTTCATTTAGAAAATAAGAAACTAAACTATTTTTTTCTTCAAAAAAAAAGCTTTAAGTAAGTCTCAATTATGGCAAGAAGATGAGAGAATTGATATATCTATAGCAAATGAGGATGGCCTCATGTCAGCCTAGAAATCTAACATGACAAAAGTACCTAGGATCCTTCTTCAAACTGTCGGTTACACTCACTTTCACATTTAAAAATAAAATATTAAAAGACATTATTTTTTTCACCACATTTATTATCACTTATATTTTCTCATATACCAAAGAAAGGAAATTAACAAGAAAAAAAGGTCATCTCATAGGTGGGAAGTACAATTCAACAATAACATTCAAGAGACCAAGAAATTTCTACACAAAAACTAATACTCACAACTTGATATTAAAAATTAAGTTCTAAAATGGAGAAAACTACTAGTGATCAAGCCAAAACTGAACTAAAACAGATAGCAGCTAAACTCCATATGGTTTCAAAGCGAGAATCAAAGTGAAAGTTACAAACACTTGATGGGCAATAATCAAACACTTCATGAGCATGTTCCAATTGTTTATGATGAGTTTCTCACTTGAACATAGAATCAAACACATGGTGGGCAAAATTTTAACAATAGAATCAAACACAGATCTAGTATATAATATTTATCAAAACCTTCAAAACATTGTTACAAATACATAGATCTATGTATATATATACCAATACATCTCATAAATTCTGACAATGATGATTTATCATAAATGTTGAACCAAACATGTAAAATTAATTGTTGAAATAGATAAAAATCTGGAATAAATAAATAAATAAATGGCAAAGATGATAATCTCACCGGTAATGAGAGTTTTTCCGTGCTGACGGTGAATTTTCCGGCGAACGAAGGCTGAAATCGGCACATCGAGATGGAGATCTTCTCTCAACAAAGCTGTTGTGTCTTTGCTATGTAGAAATGATTTGATTTGGCTTACATTTTTGCTCATATAATCAGGGTAAAATAGTCTTTTTACTTTTTTTCCCAATTCAAGATATATAATCCCACCCCTACCCCATTATTAATAATCCTATAAATTTGTTGGATTAATTATCCATTGGATTAATAATCCTAAAACAAAATGTCAAAACAAACATAGGATAATTGAGCCCACGGATTAATAATCCTAATCCTTTGCTCTAATCCTGTCAATCAAACATGCCCTTCGTGATATGAGATCTTGGGTTCAACTCCTATAAAGAGGAGTTTAATACCCTTCATAGTGGTGTTTATTTCTTCCCCATTATGAAGATTGTTGGGTTTGGGTTTGGGTTTGGACTTGGGCTTAGTGGGTTTTTAGGTATGCTTTGTTGACTTTATAATTTGGGAGATTCTATTTACACCCAAAACATCACTTAGTATGCCTAATTTTTCAATACACCTTATTAAATTATTGGGAGCTTTTTTCATAAATCCTTCTTTAATTATGTATGTTGCAATTAGTCTTGTCCTTAATGAAAAGACAATATTGCCCTTATGTTCATATCAGATGCACGCTTTTTTTTCCCCTTTAAAACATTAACATTACAGAAAATCAAAGCTTTTCTTCATTGTTCCCAAAATTAAAACTCTATGATTTCATTTTTTTTCCAAAATTAAAACCCTAATATTGAACTCGTTCTTTTTCGATCAAAACCCTACGATCGGTAAACATTCTTCATTCCGGCGACAGAGATCGCTAATAACTTCATTCTGACAACAA